ATGCCCGTTGCTGGTTGGCTAACTAGCAACAGGGTCTTGCCAGCCAATGGAATTGTGTGATTACAAGCCAGGGGAATCCCATAAAAGAGGGCTCCCCTGGCCCAGAGAGCCAGTCCGGATTTACCTTATGCCTTGCCAATAAACCAAGAGCTGACTGTCACTCGACTCGTGTCTTACTGCCTGCGCGATCTAACAGTTCCTGCCACCAATTTCTGCTGTGTTACACTCACCGTGCAAAATACAGTTTCTGCCACCAAGACTGCAGATGTGTTTTTTTTTCCCCTGGGATCTTCTAGGACGGTGTTTCTCAACCTTGGAAAATAAAATATATGTAGACTTCAATTCCCAAAATTCTGCAGCCAGTCATGTTGGCTGAAGAATTTTGGGAGTTGAAGTCCATACTTCTGCAAGTTGCTAAGGTTGAGAAATACTGCCATAGGACTTAAACACAGCCTCTCAGCATCTTCAAAGTGCCTTTTCCTGACTCATGAACTGGAGCAAATCTATACAGCCTCCTTGTTCTGGCAGAAGGAAGAGCCGCCAGCATCATCCACTTGCAGCCCAAGGATACTTGAGTTCCCTGCTCTGGAAATCATGTTTCCTTCCTTATCTTACCTCCAGATGTGCAGGTGGATTGAGGCCCATGGGTCTGAAACCGGTTCAGCTAGTTTCCTGTGGGACCACCCCTTTCATCCGCTCTTTGATTCGTTCTCTCACTCCTCTATCGTCTTCTGGTTGTAAGGGAGACTGGAATCCCAGATTCCATACAATTTCCCTTTTTTTTTTAAAGGTTGACCTAGATAATATGAAGTTCTGAAATGGACTAGCTTTCCTGGACTCACTGGAGAAGGGCCTAATGCTGGGAAAGATTGAGGGCAATAGAAGAAGGGGACGACAGAGAATGAGGTGGCCGGATGGAGTCACTGAAGCGGTAGGCGTGAGCTTAAAGGGACTCCAGAAGATGGTAGGGGACAGGAAGGCCTGGAGGAACGTTGTCCATGGGGTCGCAATGGGTCGGACACGACTTCGCAACTAAAAACAACAACAACAAGCCTTCCTGCCTTAAGTGGAAAATTAAAAACAATTTCAGGTAATCCTCAACTCACCACAATTGGGGCCAGAATTTCCATTGCTAAGCAAGACGGCTGTTGAGTTGTGCCCAATTTTATAATTATTAATTTTTTTGCTATGATGGTTAAGCAAATTGTGTAGCCGTTAAGCAAACCTGGCTTCCCCTACTTACTTTGCTTATTGGAAGCCATCTGGGAAGATTCCACGGTGGTCACATGTCCTTGGGAAGCTATCGCCATGCTGGTTGCCAAATTTTAACTGTAAGGATCCTGTAATGATCATAAGTGGAAGGACTGGTTGCAAGTCACTTTTTTCACTGCCGTTGTAATTTCGAATGGTCACTAAACAAATGGTTGTAAGTTGAGGATTATCTTTGTGACCTGCATGTTTTGAGTCTGCCTTGTGGATAATTCTCTTCTCAGCACTGCTTCCAGGGCCCTGGCTTTGTCCTTTCCTCTCCTTCAGTTCTGGAGCAGCTACCCAAAGGCTGCACAAATCTGAAGGATCAAGAGATGTCAGCCAACAGGTGGAAGCACCTTTAATTCTTTGCTGCCATCTGGTGGTCGAAAGTTTAGAGAGGAGCAGAAACAATGTTTTAGGAAAGGGATGAGAAAAAAAAATGCAGGTCATTCTAATTTGAAGAGGCTTTTCACATGGTGGATGACGTTGGGTGGGGCTGGAATTCTAGCCAAGGGTATGTAAGTTAAGGCTGTCTGGAGTGCAGCACAATCACAATGGCAGTACATATAGTCCTTGATTTACAACTGGTCGCTTAAGAATTGCTTGAAGTTATCTTAGATACTCCCACCCCCAAAAGATACTTATGACCCAATTCTGAAGTTCTGACAGCCACCACCCACCACAGTCACCACAGCATTTTGGACTCTCAGCCACTGGCCTGCATTGATAGCTATTTGCAGCATCCCACTGTTACTTGATGCAATTTATTTCAGTGTTTGGAAACTGCTGTTTACTT